AGGATCAATACCTGGCATGTCGGCACTCGACCATGCAAAAAGATCGTTATTTTTACAGATTTCCTCTATGAGCCGCTATCGCAACTCTGGGTTCAGCTGCCGGCTTATCTTCGTGCCCTATCCAAGGAGCTTGCCGACTTGAAGGTCGTCGAGCTCGTTGACGGGGCTTGGTCGTTTGTCATGGGATTCCGACCTTGGATCCAGGTCAATGATATCAACCTGGGCTATGTGAGCTACTGTAGGGGGTCACCTTTGTGGCGCTCCTCTGATGGCGATACCTTCAAGCTTTCGGCATAACATTGCCGAGCTGTACGTCTTCTGGTTGGCCCTGACTGAGATGATCTTTCCATTACTCCCTGGGAATTTCATCGTTAGATGCGTGGTAGACACCACGGCTCCAAGTTGGTTCAACGTCGGCCTTCTGATGATGATATTGTATGATGTATTGGCCTTAACAAGGAGGTATATGACCATGATTCTCCTTGAGTCAGGAGGGGTCCCAAAGGTTGTCAGCAGATCTATGTACCCTCGAGTGTGAACTCACTCTCCTGCAAAACTAACTAGGGGTTCTGTGTGAGGTTGAATGAGGGAGTGAGGGATATCTAACCTTAGGAACGTCAGCCAGTATAGGACATCTGTTGAGCTTCCCTGATCTATAAGCGTCTTATGGACCTCCCAGTTTGCTACTTCCACGGTGATGACCATAAGATCGTCCTGGTTTGGGCAAACGCCGGTGTAGTCGTCATCTGTGAAGGTGATGGGTGGAGTGTTGCGGTGTGGGGCCGAGGTGTCAGTGTGGACATTGTTGATGCTTCGCAAGTGCCTTTTGCATGCCGAGCTACTGAAGCCTCCCCCTGCGAAGCCACCTGAAATTGTATTGATAACTCCGCGTAAGGGAGCTGATCCTGTATCCTGACTTACCTCAGCATGCACCGTGCCGCCAGTGTTTTGTTGAGATCCAGAGGGTTGGTCTGTGCGAGTGCCCGAACCTCAACCTTGCCCTCGTCCTCGTTCGTGGTAACCTCCTGTGTGAGATTGCTGTCGTTGGACGTATTGTCCGAGGTGCCCTCCTTAGACGAGCTCCTCGATGCGGTCTCTACGTGTGCGGCATTCCTCGGTTGTATAACCATAGTTTCTATGGTATCGACAATGTTTGGATTTGTTTGCACTGTTGGGAGTGTGTCTAGGTGGTGGTAGAGTGAGCAGATTGTTGTTGTTGGCCTCCTCCCGGATGTGTACTCGGGGCGCATTCAGGGGGTGTAGAAGTCATACCTCCCTCCTTTGTTTGCCCTAGCAGCCTTCTTGAATTGGCTATCGTTGGTGACTTTCATCTTATCTTTATGGCCATGTTCTTGCTTGATCTATGGTTTCCCTCGAACTTGGTTGCGGAAAGCAGAGTGCTCTTCCATCTGAATGTACCCTACAGCTCGGGCACGGAGTTCGTCCATGTCTAAGGGAGATCGCTGACACAGGCTGTCAATCAAAGGTCATGGCTTGAGCTTCATAAGCATGGCATGTAGGACGACCTCGGGGTTTAGGTTTCAGATTTTGACCGAGATGCTGGCAAAGCGCTCCATGAACGCCCTTAGTGGTTCGTTGTCGCCCTGTCTGAGACTGGCCAAGGCGGCGGACGTGACGTGATGAGGTCGACTCGTTGCATACTGCGCCGTGAATCACCTTACCAGAGTGTCGAAGTTATCGACTGATCCCACCAGCAATTGAGTATACCAGGCAAGTGCTGCTCCCTTGAGCGAGGTCAGAAAAACCGTACACAGAATAACATCCTCATTAGTGTATAGGTTTACCTGTGTGACGTATAGATCGACGTGCTCATCTAGGTTAGTAGTGTCATCGTAACGATCGATGTTGAGAGGCTTCCATCCAAAAGGAAGGGGCGTCTCCATGATGCCGTCTACAAAAGGATGGCGGTGGATGCTCGCCCTATGTCCTGGAGCCTGGGCAGGTGCATTGCTAACTTCGTGGTCTGACCTATTCATCGGTACGTGTGACTGATGAATAGTAGACCTATGGGTCGCCGCCCTGGGTGCAGTTGGTGGATGGGAAACCAAGTGCCCCTCTTCCTCGTTTTGATTACTCGGTTGAGGGGGTTGATCAGAAGGGCGCTGAGGAAGCTGAGCGTGAATGCGCTCATTCTCAACGCGTAGCGCTGCTAGGTCAGCTTCGTGCTTGGCACGAATGTTTTTCAGGTCGACGGCATGTTGTTGCCGCATTTGATCAACCTGCTCGATCAGTCTCCTCAATGCTGCTTCACCTTTCATTCTTGTTGCGTGATCTAGGTCGTCTATTGCTCGTCTACTATGGCTTCGGGTGAAAACCATAAGTGTGGCCGATAAGAGATGTCTTGATCGGCCCCACGGTGGGCGCCAAATGTTCTTACCGGAGATTGGTCGTAGGGGACGATCTTCTGGGCAAGATTGGTGAGCCTCCTTCGCTGGATACATTTGTTGTTCCAAGGTGAGGGTGGTACCTGCAAAAGAGACTCCGATGCTAAAGTTAGTGTTTATGGTTGTATGGTCTCGTATAAGTAATGCACGTACTTTAGTGTGAATTAGGATTTGTCTGGGCCTTAGGCTTGAGGTCAGTTGTGACCTGTTCAGATGATGGGCATTTGTCTTGGCCGATGTCGCGCGACACATATCTGATGTCAATCTGCGCTGTGATGCCGAGCTCGAACTCGGCTTTGCGGTACGGATAGTACACTTAGTATTGTGAATAAGAGAAATAAATTGAAGTTTAGTACGAAGGAAACGAGAATAAGAACTTAGTATGAAATGAATAAGAAAATAAGTCTTTTTAATTTATAATCGAAAATCTTTTCTTGTTGAAGATAGAGTTACATATTAGACTCGTCTTTTTTAAAATATATAAATGGTATACAAGTCATTAGTTATTTTATAAAACAAAACACTATTGATTAAGAAATAAAAATTTATCTTTGTTACATCAAAGTAAAATAAATAACAAATAATATTTTTTTAATATTATATAAAAAAAACTATTAATTAAGAAATAAAAATTTACCTTTTTTTGGACCAAATTTGGCCAAGGGAAAAACATTGGTTGTGGTTGGAATTATTACTTGGTTAGATCATGTATGGTGAACTTGGATGATGTCTAGACAACAGATGGCATCTTCGTGTTAATGTAGAAGGATGATGCTTCCAAATTTTGAAACTTCCAATAATGGGAGCAGGGGCGGAACTTCGTTGTGACTGGGGGAGCTCCCCCAAACTTTTCAAAATTCTTATATATATATATATTATATTTGT